TCTAAAGGGAGAAAGAGTACGTTAAGAGGGAGAGAGAGAGAGAGAGAGAGAGAGAAAAATAAACGTGACGGACCGTGGATATAGGCATCGTCAATATTACGGGACGCAATAGCACACGGGGCAGACCGACGCCAGATGAAACGGTCAAAGCTAAAAAGCTCTCTCCGCCGAAACGGGCTATATATTATCTGCAACCCTTCAAACACAGAACACACCGAGATCCATACATAACCCGATGCGTGCGTTTCTCTACGTGCCGTTTCTCTGCCCCAGGAATCGCGCCCGTGCAACCGCGGGCACATCTAACGTCTGTTTTCAATAGACGTTAGTCAGAGGGTAATGGTAGATAGATAGATAGTACATACTTGCGACATTTGCGATTCCGTTTGACATTTTCTTCATTACTTTAGTTCTGGTTTTTCGCAGTTACTTTTTGACCAACTTGGATTTCGAAAAGAAGGAAATGTTTACATTCGTAACTATATAATATGTGGTTTTTATGCAGAGCACGCTGTTTCTCTCACAACTTAATTGAACTTAATAGAAATACGTTCTCCAGTTGGAACAAAATATTTTCAGTCGAGTCTTGTATATTCAGGTGATTTTGTAACGACATTAAACAAAATTTCTTAAATGAGAAATTGAAGAACTGCATCCGTTGCGTAAAAAAACTACTTTCCAGAGAATTATTTTTAGTTGATATCTTCATCGCGATCTGTAAAGAGTGGGTATGTAGCTTACATTCATTGTGATGCGTGCTACTGACATAATTACTCACTAAGGACAAAGATTTATAATACCTATGTATCCAAGTTTTTAATCAAATTCCACCCAAGTCGTGCGACTTCGTGTCAACTTGTGGCTCATCTTGATAAAAACAAATGACAAGAGATTTATTCAAAGCTGGTCAGTTCTCAGATTTGCAAAAACGAAGGTAACTCAACTCACTACAACGAAAATAAAATTCTATTGTGGCATTATTACGCAGACAATTATTTCAGAAATTTCGATTATATATTATGTCAAATATTTCAAAGTGTCGTTTCAATCTGTCAAATTGGAATTGAACGTTCCTCCAGTCTGCTCGTATCGTAAATTCCGAAAATCTCCTCGCAATCAAAACCTGTTGCAAACAAAAATTATACAATTACTTCTGAAACTACTTATAATCATCAACATAACAATACATAATTTGTAAATTATATACCTAATTGGAAATATAGTCATTTGTTTCAGGGAGGGCAAAAATAAACGAAGTCATGTGCACGATAAACGCATGTATCAACGCATAATACTTGAAGAGGGTGAAATGGGCGTGGTTAGCAACCCTTGGTGAGACAGTGTCGGCCAATACGGTAGCATTACACGATATGGAAACAGTTGCAAACGCAAGCGCCGTCAGGATCGCTAGTGCGAGTTGGTGATAGGTTGATATGCACGAGTGTTTAATGTATGAGCGCAGACTCGTACATCGAATTCAAAAGGTTACGCCTGCTGCGAACTTGCATTCAGATTGGTTACACATTAATCCATTCAGAGAAAGATTTCACAATATATGTAGATCGTTCATCTTCTTCCTCTTAATTAAACTGATTTATATCGTCACACATGTTATGTACAAGAAAACTCAAGCAATGATAAAATGTTTCCATCATTTTATTCAATTAAGACTCTACTTTGGAAAGTAGAAACTTCTGTGATAGTTGCAGAAATAATTGTGTTGCATTAAGTTTGTTAACATTTATCTGTTTTTTTTTTTTTTTAATAGGTACTTCTCCGGCATCTTTAGTAGTTTTTTATACTTTTCTTTAGTAGTTTTTTATACTTTTCTTT